TGCAACACTGAGTCAGGTGGGAACTGTGGAAAGAATAGACGTGAAACCAAGCAGTAACAGAATGAAAGAAGGGGTGCAGATGGCAATTTTGTTCTGCTGTTTTTACGACCTCCTAAATGTCCTTGGAAAGGTTTTTAGGTGGAACCAAATTACAGCCCCTCTGCAGTTTGTGAATCAGAGGTGTTGACAGGCGTGAGTCCCGCCAACAAGGCTGCTCGACAGAGTCAGGGTGAAGGTATGCGGGGGGCTTTCAGACACACTGAAAAGAAAAGTAGAGGAGGAAAGATTTGCTTTCACACAAAAGCAGAGAAACAGTCTCGCACCGAGGAGAAACCCCGTTCCTGCAGGGGGTATATTTTAGGTGTCCCTCAGGGGTCCGCCCTCGGTGCCCTCCCAAATGCAGGACAAAGGGAGCCTGAGTTTCCCCCCGGTGAATAAGAGAATGTGCTGCCGCTGATTCATAGAGGTGCAGGTGCATGAGCTCCTCTAAAGGGTGACTCATCACGGCTGTTTCAGAGGGACTGCTGGGAAAAAGAGCAGCCATTTACCCGAAGCCCTTACGCTGTGGTCATGGTGTCCACAGTTTGCCAGCTTTCCGTTGTATATATGTAAGAACTGACAAAGACCCTTTATGGGTTGAAAATAAATGTTGATGTGTAAGTGGAGTGGGTGTGTAGGTGCCTCTTGGATTAGAAGAATCTAACTGTTGACAGGAAGTTTGCCTGGGCTACTTTGTCTGCATGGGTGTGACTAATGACCATTAGGGATCGAGTGAGTGTCAGGAAGTATTAGTGGTATGTGACAAAGACACAGTGAGGGAATAGTTGGCCCATGGACGCTGCTGCAACCCCCTAAACAACAAGACTGAAGTTATGCATATGGAAAGAAAAGTGTCTCTGGAAAGAGCTGAAGCTTAGTGGTTGCACGTGTAACGACTGAAACATGACCAAGTCTTTGTAAAGTGATCCTGGTCCTGGATCTGGCATTTACTGGCATGCTGTGGCAAAAAATGCCGGACAAATATGGACACAGAATCGAGTATATACCGTGGGAACTGGTCCTAAGACGCTGACTAGACTCTTCTCCTCTGTCGCCCCCCGGTGGTGGAATGAACTTCCAAACTCCATGTGATCTGCAGAGTCCCTCTGCACCTTTAAGAAAAAGCTAAAGACCCAGCTCTTTATGAATACCTACTAACTTAATGATGATGGTCTCCATATTATTGATGATGATGATGGTTTGTGTTGTACTTACTCTCTGATGTACGTCGCTTTGGATAAAAGTCTCTGTTTTGAAATTGTGAATTGTAGAGTTGTAGAACTGGCACGGCTAGCTGACTAACGACAGCAGGCTATTTATCCCTATACCTTAAAATGTATTTTATGCTCTATATATTGTTTTCCTGTTTATAACAAACTATTTGTTGTGTTGAATTAGATTTTTTGTGTTTCTTTATGCAAGTTATGAGTGGGATGAAATGGGTTTTGCGTAGCGTGCCGACTACATCACAGTTAGGCACACTAACGTACGAAATGTAAATCCATTACATATTTATATCCAACTGGGGGGAGACCCAGGGGGAGACCCAGAGCTCGCGAGAGGGATTATGTGTTTCTTCTGGCCTGGGAACGCTTTGAGATCCCCCAGGAGGAACTGGAAAATGTTACTGTGAGAGTGAAGTCTGGGCGTGCTGCCACCGCGACCCTGCCCCAGATGAGTGAAGATAAGGGATTGATGGATGGTTTACATAGTTCTGCTTTCTCACTGACCCGAACCCCGAACCCGTCCATGTAAACACGGCTCTGACAACAACACAGCCAGCGGGACTCGAGCTTCTCCTCATTGTCGACAGTCCTGACTCAGAGACACATTTACACAGGACAGACTTGATTTATGATATATTTACGTGCACAATGTCGCACACTCTTCCTTCAAAAGAAGGAGATCCCACTGTTAGCTAGCATGCTAACTGTACAGCTTAACTGACCCACTATTCACAAAAGTGCTACGAGACACGAATCCCAAGCAAATTCTTCAATGTACCTATAAAACTATTTTAAGGAAAACCTTTGAATCATGAAAATCTACATTGTTAAAGTTGTTGTTCATAAATATATTCTTAAAGTTCAGGCTTTCTTTTGGTAACAGAGACAGCCACGCAGAGGATGACATCCAGTTCTTACACTCGATCATTTCTGTTAAAATGTGACTCACTGTGGAAAAAAGAAAAAGTGCATTCATTTTCTTTCAACGAGTGCCCCATTTATCCTGCTGCTTAACCGCAGACCAGAGCGCAGAGCAAACATATAGATCTTTGTTGTGCAACTTTTACAAATGAAGCCTAAATTGGTTTCCCCGAGCTGTATTTATAAGATGGATGAAGTTGTACGGAGAGGCAAAGCGTGTTTATTTGTGAAGCACTTTTGGCAAATCAGAGATATGAAAGGCGTTAAGGGCGAGGTACAAAAGCCCAACGCAGATTAAAAGACGAGGAAAAAATTGCATGAGGAGACCAGAAGGAGTGTTGTGGTTTCAGTATATCAAATTAAACTCAATAATAAAAGAAGCATGTAAATGAATACCTCCTGCTCTGTGTTTGGGTTTGCCAACTTTAAGAGAGAAGTGTAAAGAAGCTGAACACGTTTTCATTAGCCTTGCTGAAAAATAGATCTTCTCCGTTTGATTTACTCTTTCATTCACGGTAGCCAATTTAGTAATTAGTCTTAAAGTGAGGCCAGTGTCCACATGAACATAAAGATTCCTGCTCTGATTTGTGGTCTTTAACATGGCTTATAGAAGTGGGCTCTAACTTTTTTTTTACTGTTCTTCAATTAGCTGCAAATTACCCCGAGTCCTCTTTCAAACTTTGTGCCTTCTGCTCACTTAAAGCCTCCCCGATGTACATCAACACCGATTTGAAAGAGCAGATTTGGTCTCTTTGCTTCTTTTGCTTTGCAGACGCTCATTATAAAGTGAATCTGTCAGCTTCCACTTTGGGTGAATTAGCATCTGAAGCGCCCTCCGTTTTCTCTCACCAACTCTCTCCTCCTCTCCTTCCTGAGAGAAGCACTAGTCAAGGGGCCCGCAGAGAGGAGAGAGGAGGACGACGAGGAGACAGTAATGCGAGCATGAGAGAAAAGAAAAGAGGCAAAGAGGAAAAGCGGTAGCTCTGCTAGCTAAACCCGGTGACCTCTGTCTCATAAAACAGAAGCAGTATGGAGTAATATGAGAGGAATCAGCAGTATCGTCTAACCTGGAGCCAAAACAATTTGCATAGCTGGATCAGCATGTAAGCACATTATAAACTTTGTCTTGGAATGAAGCGCTAAGAAAATAAAAGTTTTATAAGTAATTGTCTTTAACTGCTTAATCCTATTAGGGTCATGGGGAGCGGGAGCTCGTCTGAGCTTTGCCAAACGTTACAGCCTGAAGGAGAGGGAACAAGTCTGCACTCCGTCACAGGACTTTCAGACAAACAGAAACTCTCCGACTGCTTCAGGAGCTTTTTTGCACAGGAGCTCCTGTCATAGGTGGCTGAGGCCGAGTCCACACCAAGGCAGCCATTTTTAAAAAATTTAGCTTTTTCTGCACGCTTTGGATTTTCATACGTCCAGAACTGTGTTTTAGGTCACAGAAAAAGCTCCTTTTGTAAAACTCCTTTGTGGTGAAGATTTTCTAAAACTCTGTTAAAGTCTTAATCTGTGATTTTTCACACTTAAATGTAGAAATCAAGTATCTCCTCTGAAAATAACTCTGTGAGTCATGACTGTCTACAATGGGTGTAACACCCGAGTCCCACTGTCTGTGATGTTTTCAGAGTTTTCAGAGTCCTATCTTCACTTTGTTTACATCGCCAGGACGGCCGGCTGACTCCTCCCCTCGTGTATAAAAGTTGTTTAATTGAGGGACTAGAGAAAAGAAGAATAACATACTGTACTCACTGCTTAACTGTGTTTCTAGATCACGCTCATTTCAGGTAAATTTACATGCAGTGTGAAGATACCAGCATAATAAAGATCACTAGCATTAGCATGCTAACACAACAATGCAGCGCAAGTTGTTTTGGTTTCATGCTGGTGCTCAAGGGCGACATCTGCTGGATCAAAAAATCACATATAAAGACTTTAACAGGTGTTTATGATTAGATGCAGTGTTAATCTTCACACCATTTTCTAATTTAGTCATAGTCTCCTGACGAAAATGTCCTTTTATATTCAGTCAGATATTAGTCATTTGTTTTTGATTTAATTTAGTCGATTAGTCACTGACTAAAATTGCACATCATTTTAGGTGACGAAAATAGAAGATATTTTAGTCAACAAAATCAGACGCGAGCTTTTATTTTGAACTTTTGGGTTTAGTTTGGGATCTTAGCTTTCCACTGGACGAACAAACTGAATGACATCTCAATCAAACGAACAAAGACACTTGAGTTTTATTCAAACCAATCAGGACTTGAAACGTACTTCGTCCAAACTTTTTGACAGCAGGACGGACTTGTTGAACTGAACTTTTTTAATAAAGCGTAAAGCTCTTTTGCGTATTTTTTTTTTCTTCCATATTCTGACTCATTTCAGTTCAGGAACACTTTTCATATGATGAGCACATTTCACCCCCAAGCCAGCGCTCTGCTCTGTCTCAGGCTGCGTTCATCAAGTTTGGCGTTTATATTAACATCGAGTCATTTTTCCCCCCTGTCACTGTCGTCTCGTTTCAGACTCAGGGGTAGGATGATTGTGAAAGTCTGCGGCCCGCTGGTCTGTGTGACGGCTGCTGAGTCATTCCTAATGTGTAATCTGATTGAGGCGCTGAGATTTTCTCCCCGATGCAATGAGAAAAAGTCTGCAGAGACGCTGACTTAAGATGAAGCAGGACAAGATTAATGTCTTCAATAATACTTCCTTTAATACATCCTAGTACACTGAAGTCATATCTAATTATTTAGCTGGTAAAACACACTGATTACATTTCTCACGCTGTGTTTTTTCTGTCTCCCCCAGGGGTTTCTTACTCATACGTGCAGGGGCAGGCAGGAGAGGAAGACGCAGCGGTGGATGTGAAGCTGTACAGTCACAGGTGGAGGAGATGGCTCCCGCCTAAACCTCGTAGCATGGACAGCAACAGGGCCAGTCAGGAGCAGGACCAGGAGCCGGAGCAGGTGGAGCCCGAGGGATTCCCCGGGCTGCTGTCAGCCGAGGACACGGACAACAGCTCGCAGATAGAGGTGGGAGCTGAACGACTGAGATCACTGGAGGATGTTGTTTTAATGTTTTTTTAAAACTACAGATGTCATGTGCCAAATGAAACATGTGGCAGAATACTACTGATACCTCTCATGCTGTTTAATGTCGTCTGTGGCTTTGAGTTCACATTCTGAATTCAGGAAACTTCATCTGTCATGGCGGTTGTCTTTTTAAAAAAAAAAATAATAACTCTACATAAAAAATGTTATTTTTGCTTCTGTTTGGCGGCTTCAGAGAGCAGGCCTTAAAAACAGTTCAAGCAGAACTCAAGCCCCGCTGTGTGTTTATAATTACCGTTATTATTTTCCGTCTAGTTTCTGGTAAGCACGCCGGAGTCCCCGTGCAGATTGACTCCTCCTCTCTCCCCCCTCGCTGTGCCACAGAGATTTCAGTCTTTTTCTCTTTTCTCTTGATTTTTGTATTTTATAAGACTTTTTTTTCTTTTTATCTTCCTCATTAAACTGCAAACTCAGCATCACTTAAGTGCCCTGCAATCGATAAACAGAGGGGAGTGAGAGTCCTGCAAGTACCTGAAGAGACGGAACAGTAAGAACAGTTTGACCCCAACCAGGAAGACACGATCAGATCAAGCGTGTACATGGATATCGATCGGATCAGCGGTCGGCATAAACTGCCCCTGCCTCGTTAGGAATTAAAGTTCTTTCCAGATGAGTCTCTTCTTATTAACTTGTTGATATGAAGCATCCTGATCAGGCTTTCATTCTGATGATTTGTTTACATCTAAACATAGCTAATGTCACCTCCTTTCCTTGGGCGGCTGTGGTTCAGTGGTAGAGTGGTGGTCGTCTCCGGTCGATCTCCAGCTCCTGCAGCCACATGTACGATGTGTCTTTGGGCGAGACACTTAACCCCAAGTTGCTCCCGCTTGTTACCCTGCGAATACAAACCTAACCCCCTGATATGATGTAATTTAATGATGTGAGATATATTGTTTTACATCAGAGAATAAAACTGAGGCAGCTTATTAGATACTCCAATCATGATTTACCTTAAAGTCTTAATCTGTGATTTTTCACACTTAAATGTAGAAATCAAGTATCTCCTCTGAAAATAACTCTGTGAGTCATGACTGTCTACAATGGGTGTAACACCCGAGTCCCACTGTCTGTGATGTTTTCAGAGTTTTCAGAGTCCTATCTTCACTTTGTTTACATCGCCGGGACGGCCGGCTGACTCCTCCCCTCGTGTATAAAAGTTGTTTAATTGAGGGACTAGAGAAAAGAAGAATAACATACTGTACTCACTGCTTAACTGTGTTTCTAGATCACGCTCATTTCAGGTCAATTTACATGCAGTGTGAAGATACCAGCAGAATAAAGATCACTAGCATTAGCATGCTAACACAACAATGCAGCGTGAGTTGTTTTGGTTTCATGCTGGAGCTCAAGGGCGACATCTGCTGGATCAAAAAAATCACATATAAAGACTTTTATCAAAGTATTCAACATCATTTTCCAAATGAAGTCAAAGTAGCTGATTGTTGGGAGACAAAGTGTCTCTGTAAAGAAGTCGACTCATAACCAGAGAATGAATCGATTAAGTCCTCTGTTGAGCGGCACCTGAAAATACTCTTTCCTCTCTTCCCTGGAGCGATTATAAATCTCTCATAAAGCGTGGACGTATTGTAATGAAAAGAAGACCAGGAGGGGCCTTTGAGGATTAATATTTTATATCAAATTAAAGCCGAGCCTCAGGTGATCATCCACCTTCTGCGGGAGCCTGGATCCTCTAAAACTTGACCTCAGAGCGACCACAACAGGAAATTACCCCTGGCCTCCCACCACAGTTTCCAGGAGGGTCGCTGGAGCTGCTGGAGATGAATGGGCCGGGTTCAGCCTGTGTTTGCGTTCATGTAAATGAAAGGCATTGCCCCGTGTCGCCGTGTTATGGCGCCTTTTGGCCCCGCGCACAGCAGCGAGGCGTTCAGTCATTACTATGGCGGCCGCTTGGGTTCAGACAGCTCGTTAAGTTTCCCGGTGGCTTCTAATCATCTCAGGTTCACAGACCCACGTCTCCCAGCGAGGTGGGGGGGGGGCTTTGATCGTCAGCTGCCAACACACACACACACACACACACACACACACACACTTGACACTTCAGACTTCACACATACACTTATGTAGAGACAACAGTGTGTACTTCAGAGCACACACACAATCTCACAAACATCCCTCACTGGTGTCGCCCTCCGAGGCTCATTTGTTTGTGCAGCAAAAGAAGTCGACTGCACAAACACCCTGTCATTACACACACACACACACACACACACACACACACACACTCATATTACACACACAAACACACACACACACACACACACACACACAAAAACAACACAACACACACACACACACACAAACAACACAAACAACACAACACACACAGAGACACACACAAACAAAACAACAAACACACACACACACACACACACACACACACACACACACACACACACACTTTGCTGACATGAGAGAAGCCGTCAGATTCAGATTCAGTGCAGATGGTTTTTTTCCTCGTGGCAGCGAGCTGAAAGGATTTAAAGTCTTTTCTTCAGACTGAGGAGAGAAGGAGACAGCTGAGTGTCCACCTGGAGGACAAAGCTACCTGCAGACACTTTAAACATTCTTTGTATTTATATGTGATGATAAAGTGTCTAAACTTATCTTTTGTGCACACTTGACTTGCATCAGAATGGTTTATCGAATTTCCTGTTAAGAAAAACTGCAGCGTCTTAAAGCTCCTGTGAGGAGTTTTTAGCAGGTTATGAAACAGACTGAGAGTGTGATGCTTCGATATGACTCAACAAAGGAAACAAACCCATCAGCATAAAGAATGATTTTAACTTAAGTGGGATTTTTTCTATGTTTGAAAGTTTTGGTGTCAGACGAGGAGATTAACAGCACACCGTCTAAAAAAAAAAAAGGAATTATTTTGGGGGGAATTTTGACCTTTATTGGATAGTACAGCTGAAGAGAGACAGGAAATGTTTGGAGGAGAGAGTGGTGGGATGACATGCAGGAAACAGGCGAGGTCGGATTCGAACCTACAGCCGCTGCTGTGAGGACTACAGCCTCTGTACATGGTGTGTGTGAAAGAACCGCTAGGCTACAGGCACCTTGTTTGTTCAAAAACAGATTTTCACAATTAGTGACACATTTGACTGTTAGAATAAAGCAGGACGAGATTTGATTTCTTGTCAGAAAACTCTACCTACACATCTACAGGTCAAAAATCAGCAAAATCATAACATGTACTGCTTTGACCACAGGGGGCGCCAAAATCGAGACAAACCAAAAGGTTCTTCACAGGAGCTTTAAAAGCAGCGGGCCTGCAGAGCGGTGGTGTGCTGTAGTCACTTTTTTCTATCAATTTTCTCAGAGAAAAAAAGAGGAATGAAGATATTTACAAAAAGCTCTAATGGATCTCTTGTAGTGAATAATTGAATGTGTTAAAACAAAGGACAAACAGAAAGAAGTCTCCTCTTCTCCTCGTTGTCCTGCTTGGAGGTCAGTCTCTGTTTGGGTTAACTGGTGCCTTTACGAGAGTTTCCAACAATAGTTTCCTCTCACCTTAACATGCAGGTTTATAACTGTGGTCTGAACAGCAGACAGCACGGCGCCCTGAACGCTGGTGACTCACTGTGTCAGCTCTTCAGATCATTAAAGCAGATTAAACAGGCCGTCTCTTCAGGTCGCTGTGCGTTCAGAAAGAGGAGAACGTCTTTGGAGCAGAGTCTTTATCGCTGAAATCAATCCAAGTTTCATCAGTTTCTGTGACGATCCATGTGTGTGTCCAGACTTGTTTTTAATGACGGTTTTGTTTTTTGGGATCTTTTCAGAGTTGTGGTTCTCACCTTTGTCTTGAACCAAAAGCTCCTCAGGTGTTTCAGAACCCTCAGCTGTGAGTCACGTTCACTGACAGTTGGTGTTGCTTTGTTTAATCTTGTGCAACGTTGTTTGAGGATCGACGGGAGCCGTGTGAACGGCTGTGCTCCTCACCTGGGTGTGCTCCAACGTCTTGTATGCATCAAACAAACAAGTCTTTCTGAACAATCCTGCTGTGAGCTTCAATACTCTGATCTTGTGCAATGTTGTGTTTGATCAATGAAGGCAGCTTTCATGCAATTAAAGATATGTAGAATTTAGAAACATTTAACTATTGATAACAGTGAAAATAAGATTTCAGTCGAGTCGACATCACAGCTTCTCTCTCCATACTCTGCTGACGACCTCGATCGATTTGTTTTGGGCTGCTCCTTTCTTCAGATCCTGAATCTGTTGCCGCACCGCACATGAAGACACATCGCTCCTCATGTTCCCTCTGAAATAATGTGAGCGTTTGATGGTGTCACTTTCACGCCCGCATGTTCACATCTTCAGAGAAGAACAGCGTGTTGTGATCATTACAGCGCTGACAGGTTGCCAATAAAAGCAGACAGTATGGTGGGTTGGGGGGGGGGGGGGGTTGTTTGAATAGCTCGCTTTGATGTGTAGTAATAGAGAACAAACCATATGATGTATTTTTGCAGGCCAACCCTGAAGTAGCATCTCCATGGGGTCTAATCCTCCTCTGGGATGTTTTCATTGGATTTTGGATCATTAATAAATAATCTCTGTGGTAAAC